GTTTGAAAAGGAGTATGTCAATTAGTTTGGGGGCAAATCAAACTTTCCGAAAAGAAATTAATTTTTTGTTTTATAAAAACAACTTAGACGTCGATTTTTCAGAAAAACATTTAGAATAAGCTAAAGAAGAATGTTGCAAAACAAAGAATAAGATTGTCTTATGTAGTCTTTATTCCAAAATGAGTATCTTCATCGTAAATCATAATCAATTATCTCGTGCAAGTCTTTGTAATTGTGTCTTAAGAAAAAAGAGACATTATTAATTATTTTCTCAAGTGTTTTTCAAATTACTAAAGCAAACTAATTTATTTTATCTTTTCGTATACACAACCAAGTTGACCCCAATCTTTGTACACACTGCCAAAGTAGAAAACTTACACCCAAATTGGAATACCCACTGAATCCCGCCTTCGGTAATCAATAATCGGAGGCAAGAAATTTGGGTATTCCAATTGAATAATGTTATTTATTCCCAATGGGGATGAAAATACAGTTTAGGTGACTGTAAATGATAGGTGAAATGAAAGGTGAAATTAAATGACTTATTTAATTTCACATATCATTTAATGTCACATTAGTGCCACCTAGACTGTGTTTTCATCCCCAGTGGGGATGAATAGCATTACTCATTCCAATTTGGGCATTTCACAGTAGGCAGGCATCTTTAAATTTTAATTTTTTTTTATATGAGCTGGACAGGGCCGGGCCGGGCTCAAGCTGACGCCCCGAGCCTCGGCTCTATGCAATCGAGCCCGAGCCAGGCCCTGCTCGGACTTTTTTCGAGCCAAGCCCACGAGGTTTTTTGCCACCCTTGGTGCCACCTCAATGGAGAGTTAGAGTTTCTCTCTTATAAGTTTGTTGGAAATGGTGAACGCAATGTCATATTAGTGTTATTCGAGATTGAGGAACTTGAGGACACGTAATACTTGTGTGTGTTCTTACCGGTATTGTCATATGGAATAACTGGTTCAAAAATTTTATGTCACCTTTAATTTCTACTTTACTTTGTTTGAATTATACTATGGTTAGATTCAAATCGAAAAATATCTAATCCTTATGCATGAGTATTGTATATTCTGAATATGAGATTTATTGAATATTGAACAAGTGGAAGATTGTTGTATGATTATTCAAAAATCAATAAAAGAATGTGGAATGGAAAACGAAACCGGAGGCCTAAAAATTGGCATATGCGGCATATGCCAGGAAGGCTTGCGGTCGCGTAGGCCTTTGTAGGGTTTAAACTTTAAAGGCCCTACCATTGGTTGTTATATGAAACCACATAGGTTTGTTCCATGCGGTCACATAGAACAACAATATAGACGTTAGAGACCCGTTTTGTTTGAATTTTTTATGGCTTTTCAAGTGTTTTTGGCACCACTTTGTGTAGCCTTTCATGATGTCTATAAATAGGTGGTTTAAGATCAATGAAATAAGTTTGAAAACATAGATAAACACTTGATATTATTCCCTCATTCCAAAAAGTGTTGAAATTCATTTTCTCTTCATATTCATTTTGTGTTCTTAAGTTTTGGAGGATTATACTAAAGGTCCGTTTGATAGGTAAAGATAGAAAGAAATTTCAATTACATGTTAGTTGAAAAATAAAAACTTACAAAACCCATAGGAATTCGTTTTGCATGAAACAAAGAAAATGCAGTTTAAAGTAGTTGTACCTTGAAATTCGATTTTCATTTCCACGTTACAATCAAACGATCAAAGTGGAATTCGTTTTCCTCGGATGTGACATTTTTCATGGAATTTCATGCTATCAAATGGACCTTAAGTGCTCAAGTGTTAATCATTTTCAAACCTTGATAAATCCTATAAACCATTTGTAAAGATCCCTTTAAGCACCAAAATTCAATTCGATAGAGAGCAAATATCGTTTGAGAACAATGATTACCTGTTTAAGCCTTTGATTCTTCTTTGCAAGTTCTTGATCATTTGTTCTTTGTCTCTTCTCCATCCCTCTTTGTGCAAACATTATTTTCCAACAGAAAACACCATAAATTTTCTTTGATATAATTTGACAATTAACACTATGCTTTTTCGTGTTATAAACCTAACTTTTATGAGGATTTCCACTAAGGTGATGCCAAATCGATATTTATTTATATTCTTTTGATTTGAAGTACCCCACGCATCCAAACTAGCCTCTTCATTAGGGGGACAAAAACCTAATTCTTTTAACGAATGGGATTAAATTTATTTATTTATTTGTTTTCGTGTAACAACTAATGATTTTTTTTCAATGTTTAGTGCAACACGCAATCCTATCTCGTTAACATCTTATCGTTATCAAACAAACAAGGATCCTAAATTCAATTTTATATTATCGAATTTATAAAAGATTAATATGATTCGCTCATGAAGGAGAGCATCGTCGATAGGTTTTTATCTTTAATGATTCAAACTCGAAAATGAAGTATTATTCAACATTATCGCTTAATTAGTAAATCGATCAAATTTGGCCAATTATAGCCTTTGGGATTCATATTGACCCACATTTTAAGAGGCATTAAAATTAAAATTGTTGATAAACATGTGAAAAAAATATAACATGCGCAAATTTAAAAATTATATCAGAATATTTAGTTTTATTGGCAAAACGCTATAGTGACGGAAGCATAGTTGGTTTTTGATTAGAAGAGCACTAGTAACCCACTACTAGCTGTCCCTTGAAAAAGTCCTGTACCTATCTATCCTGTTTTTAATTCTTCAAGGGTCCCTCTTGCAATTTGGAGGGGCCGGCCTGCTTACAATCCGTACATTAATTTTTAATGCAATTACGTGTATCTCTATTCGAACGTAGTATAATAAGATAGATAATGAAGCCACTGGTTTTTTTGGAGTAGAGACGCTGTTAGTTTTTAAAAAATTAGATGTCTAAAAGTTAAGAAGATGGTGACAAATTTTGCTCATCCAAAATAATTTATTATGAATTAGTGCTAAATTAAAAATAAAATAAAGTGTAGTGGAAAAGGAAGAAATGAACGATCACGGACCAGTACAATTTGACCTGTACTGGAGAGATATGTACTTGGTGGACCAAAAGCACAGTAAAATTAGGTCAGGGGATTAATTCTTTAGAAATAGACTAAAGTCTTCATGTGTGATTATGTTTTTTGGCCCATCATAGAGATAATTGACTCAATTTGTAATGACCTAACTTTTTTATTTTTGGGAAGATGCTTTATGTCATCCGTGAAACCCAAAATAAGCAAATTTATTAAAGCTTTTTGGGGAGTGTTTGTGAGTCTTATTTCTGAATTACCAAGGATAATAAGTAGTGCGTTCATGAAATATGTGAATAAAATGTGTGTTTCGTTGGTTCAGATTATAATTTAAATCTGATCAGACCAAACATGCACTCATAATTTGATTGACGGAGTAGAGAGTTACTTAGATTTTTCTTTTCAACAATTGTTACTAGCGAATTATTAGTAGGGGTCTATGAATGGCCGAAGTCTAGTTTTTAATGACACATTTTGTACGTTTGAAAAATAGTCATTATTTAAAAATACAGAAGTGTGTGAAATATTCGACGAAATTTTAATTTCTTTTTTCTTTCTTTCTCTTCTTATCAATCACATATTCTTTAATAAAATAATATTACATGTAAATTCAAAACTTTTTTTTTTCGTTCTCCTATATGTTAATTTTCTCATACGCTCTTTTTTCTTTATAATGCCTACTTTTACTCTCTACGTTATCTTCGAACCCATGTTTAGTAGATTATTAATTATTTTTTTTATGTATTTTTATTTTGAATCTTGATCACGCATTGATTCGAAAAAGATAAAGGTTTAATAAAAATACCGTGTACCTATGTAAACATATGGAATTTTTGACTATTTTACGATTTTTCTGATTAATTTTGTACACCAGATGTACTTACACATGTCTCACATGAATAGTATGCGCGAATATTTTATTGTGAGAGGAGTGTAAAAGATTGTGTACATGTAGCATGATTGATTAATTTATGGGTAAAAATTTCAGTGAAACTATACTTCCAACATTATTTTCTTATTGTCATTAAACTTTAAAATCTTTTTTGTATAATAACAAGGTACTTTTAGTAGTCATTGAACTTTAATTTTTTTAACAAATCGTTATTAAACTTTCGAAGTTGTTTCCTAATTGCTACTTTTAAGTTTTAATATTGTTTTTCATCATCGTTACGAATCATTTGAAAAAATTAACGTTTGTTTTTTTTCATGTCATAGGAATCACTAGCTTTGAACATAAGAAAACAAGAAAAAAATTTAGTACTCCGACCTACAGAAACTCGATATTCCAACGTGCAACGTTTGTAGTGTTGTAATCAATTATTTTCATTAATTTTATATTGCTTTCATTTTTTAACTCAATTTTTGACTTTACAATAAAAATGACTAACTCCGCCACTACTTGAAGCACTATCGGATGATGATGATGTTAATAATGCACCTTTTGTTGCAAGATTGATTGATGGTTTGTAACCTTAGTGTAAATATGGTAGACGGCCCTATCCATTCATTGAGTGGCTTAGAAATATAAGTGGCCAACTATATAAAATATTTGTTGCACTTATCACCCATCATTGTCATCGCGAATATGTAAATTCGACTTTTTGTTTGCAATCAAGTTGATATATTAGAAAATGGCTAGTTAGGTTTAGAGAGGGACAATTAATAATAAAATATGTAAAGAAAAGAAAATTACGATCATGTTACACGTAACATTTTTTGTTTGATGTGTACACGTGGCACTTTATTACACGAGGTTCGATAAACTATCAGACGAACAATGTTGGCATCAATTGCTGAGCTAATTGTAGGAGGTCGAAAAATGTATGGGGTCGAAATATATATGTGTAGATATTAAAAAAAATTCAAAATATGTATATATTAAGTGAAGCATTTATCCAAACATAGATATGTTTTCACCAACTTCATATTTACAATTTAGAAATAAACATCAAACAATTTCTCAGCTATGGTTTGTATTAATAATTAATACAAAGGCACTGCTATTCGAGGTGGTGGCTTAGGCGGTTTCTGCACCTCAACTGTGATTTTCGCACGTAACGGTGGCTCACGCGGACATGGCATTGCTATGAACTTTGGAACATCATCCCCAGCCATTATAACTGGCAAGCTCTGGTTCTTCTCTTGCTTTAAATTCTGAAAATGAAATAAGAGTTGATTAGTACTCTGTGAGATCGAATTGCACAAAAAAGTTAATATTTTGATAGTAAATAAAAAATTTACTTTCAAAAGTAATTCGCTTATGTTCAAATTTGATCGACAAAAGTTTTATTACTTTAAAAAACTTACCTTTAGGAGGACTTTAGGTTTGGAGGGCTCTTGATCACCATCTGCCTCGAGGTCGTGGTCCGAGAGGCGGAGGGAGCGAAGCTTGTCCCAATGGTAGATGCAGGAAATTATGCCACTGAGGCTAAAGATGACCACCAAGAGGAGGGCAGTCCCCAGAGGAAATCCTATGGACGGCCGAGATCCCTCGCTGTGACCGGGCGGCGTAGCATGATATGGACTATCCATCACTGCTCCCACTTCCCCTTTAATCCCAGTTCCCTCATCGAGGATGCAACAAAGCACAATTTGTTTTTATCTTTCGTACAAAAGATAAATGATATGGTATTTCTTAATATATGACTAAGAAAAAAAAGGCTCAAGATCAAACCTAAAGGGACGATGGAAATAGGATTATAATTTGAGGCAATGAGAGGAGAGGAGACGAGGTGGTGAGTATTTATTTATAATATAAGGCAAAGTGTGGGTACGTGTGTACATTTGGTGTCCGGTACGGATGGACGATGGACTTCGCCGCCACCTCCACTCCCCAAACACGCACATTTTTAAAGTTTAGGGGATTAAAATTATATATTTTTAAGTATATTTTGATAAAAGTTGATAAAATATGTGATTGAAAAATTGTAGAACCCATAAAATACATGGTTAAAATTGATTATTGACTTTGACTAAACCCCATTTAGCCCCCCATTAAAATTATAATCTATTTTTCTCTTTTCTTATCAACCACACACTCTTCAATGAAATAATATTACACATAAACTCGAAGCAATTTCTTTTTTTTAACTACACATTCTTAAAAAAAAACTTATTCCAAAAATTATAATTTCAAATAATGGCAGACAATGGGGTTCAAATGATGGTTTAAATTAAAATCTAGATTTTAATCAGTACCCAATAAAGTTTGATGCATTTGAGTGGGAGTAGGTGGCCCACGGAGGATTTTAATATTGTTTAGGTTTAGTGGTGGGCATGAAAGCTTTGTTTCATTTGCTTCTCTAGTGACTAATTAGGGAAGGAAGAAAAAGGAAAAATGAGGAAAGTTGAAAGTTTTTTTATTAGATTATATTTTTTCTTTTCATGGGTAGTAGGAAGAGGCGCCAATATTTCAATTTTGGACCTCAACGGTGAAAACAACCATCTCTATTCAATTTGGTAGACTAAAATGATTTTCATCTATCGATTGTGAATTGGATTTTTCTTTTTCTTTTTTTTCACATTGGGTTGTGAATAGTTGATAATTGTCGAATGAAGTTAAACATCTATTATATTCATTAAACAATAAAGTAGTGAAGTTTACTGCTGTCTAAATTGGTGTTGAGCAACGAAATATTATTCATTTTTAAATGTTTAAAAAAATTTAAAACTCGATATGCTTTTAAGGTAGTATCAGTTGAAACTTTCGGTAGTCTCTATAAAATAGTTTGTAATTGTAAAGAACAAACTAATATTAATTTCCATTTATTATCAAAACAAAATGTAAGGTTAAATTTATTGAGTTTCTGAGGCAATGTCCAATAAACTCTTCATCCTTTCTAATTATTTGATTTCAATAAGGAGAATAAGATCACTAAGATATTTCATTAAAAATTTGCTAGATCATTTAATTATATATTTAACGATAAATTAAATTAAATTGGAGAAGACTTATTAAAAATGTATAAAAATATGTGAAACTATTAATTTTTCTATTTAATAATTAGTACTGTAAATAATTGTTTAGAAAAAAAATTGATTGCTGATTATTACAATTACCATGGATAATAGAGCTAAACTTTTCAAACATGTTTACTCGGAAAAAGTAAACTTGCGCTTCGCTATAAAGTAAAAAAGAAGATAGAAAGTAGTCGTTAGTGTTGGACAAAGGCCTTGAATTATATTGGCCTTTGTTCCTGTCGCGTCCAGTCCATAAATTTGGCCTTATTAGCCCAATGATTGGGCCTTTGGTCAATCACTAATTCTTAATGAAAAATACATAGCCCTGTTTGACCTCCATTATAATGTATTTGTGGGAAAACATATATTTTGAAAAAGTGATTTTTTAAAGAATGTGTGAATAAAAAAAAATGTTTTGAATTGAAGTGTGATATTATTTTATTGAAAAATATGTTTTTAAAAAAAGTAGAGAGAAAATGTATTAAAATTTTAATGGAACACAAACAAGAGCATATCTACCAACATTAAAGATACGCTTTCAAACATGACACACTTGTCAGTTTTTTTTTAAAAGCAGGTGGTATTAATTAAATAAGTTAAGATCACAATAACATATAGGGTGTTTTTGACACTCATTTTTTAAAGCTAAAAAATTTTAGAATAGTGATTAATGGAAGAATGTGTGGTGGAAAAGTTTTAGATTTTTGTATAATATTATTTTATTGGAATAATGTGTG